CCAAGTAAACAGGAGATACAGGAGTAAAAACGCTGCAGTGCTATGCAGTCCAGTTCATGAACCTTTAACTAGGCCAAAGTGTCGTCTAGCCTGAAGGGACAAAGATGTCATGATTAGAAGACGTTCCTTTATGTTTGTGACAGATTATCAGTGGAGCAGGTAATGAGCTGATCAACCACCGCGAGTATCAGATGATCAGACGATCACTTCTTAATGATCCCAAAATAAACAAGCCTGAAAACGTAAAACTGTAAGTGATTAAAGCTCTGAACTCTGCGTGCTTTGTTTAGGAGTTTTTAGTGTGTTTTTGGTGTTAATTCCTAATACACTTGAACCTAATCCTCGCTCTCTCGATTCCTGGAGCTGTTGTCTGACGGTTGCCATGGCAACGGGGCTGCATGTCAAGCTGACGCAGACCAGAAATACAACTGGTTTTAAGTTCTGGTTTCTGCGTCCCTGGACCAACTGCATCGTGGCGATATTCAAAACAGTCATCAGTCATATTTATATTTGGGCAGCTGAATTTTGTAGCTGTTTTCAGCTGCAGACAAACATTGAGCAAATATACAGACTCACTCCATAAGTTAGAATGTGGCTATGAGGTTCAATATGTTAGTAATTCCATCACCAAGTGAAAGATGTTATACAGATTAACTAGATGACTAACGTTTCAACGTCTTAGTATCACTAACTCACTCACTAATCCTTCAAAGAGTAGATGGTGTAACTCATCAGCATCTACAATAACTCTTTGAAGCATTAATGGTTAGTTTCCATTTGGGATTAATAAAGTGGTTTTGAATTAGAATTGAATTTGAATTTGGAAAAAAAACCCTGCATGTAACAAGTTTGAATAGTCATCAGAATTTTAGTGAAGTGTCACGAATCCCAAACATAGTTTTGGATATTCTGCTATTAGAGCAGAATAATCCAGTCCAGGGTTGGAGTCTAGATGTTGTAGTATTTAAACTAGAGTCGATTAAAGATGCGGAAGGCAGAGAAAAATGAGGTGGAATCGCCCTTTAGCCATTTCCCGAATCAGAACCAACTTCAGCTTCGTCCATTTAG